CATATAATAGGAATGGATATAAAAGAAAAAGAGGCAGAAATGATGGTAAATGCCTAGGGGCAAGGAAATATACCTGAAGGGCTCGACTGGACATGTATCAGAGCAAATAAGGCAGACCTAATGGGGGGGCTATGACAAGGGGTCAAGACAGACTAGTAGAGAAGCGATAGAGATATAAGGGCACTACCACATAGAAAAGAGATAGAGAAAGGCAATGGACACCAGAGAGGGGACTGATATAGGGGAAGGACAGAAGGGGGACTCATATAAGGAACGGACACCATATGGGGGGAAAGATATAGGTGATGGACAGCAGAGGAGGGAGGGGGAATGGAAATAAGGATTGGAGGGGTGGGGGAAGGCGGTAAAAGTGATGAAGTGAAGACAGCATTAAGACCCCAGAGGTTACATTTCACTGGTCAAGAGGCTTTATGAGGGTCAGAGTGTGGGGCAGAATCCTAACCTGTCCCCTACTCCCATCACTTAATCTTACTGGTATTGCCTCCCCCCCAAGCACACATAATTTGGCCCTCCCCCTGCCCTGGTCTCCCCTCCCCCATCCCATTCCATCTCTCTCCTCTCTTCCCTCCATCTGGACCCTCCATCCCCCCCCACCACCACTGCCTCCCTCTCTCTCCATCTGGCCCCTTCTCTCCCTCCATCCTCCTCTCTTTTTCCACCCCTTACCATACTCTGAGTCCCCCACCAAATTCTCCCCCATCTTCTTGGCTTCTCTTTTCACCCCTGTGTTTTCATTTCTCCCTCCTAGCCCCTCTCCCAAGACTCTGTCCCTCTATTTCCTTGATGTTTTCCTCATCACTCAGCTCCCACCCCCAAATTATTTCTGCAGCTTTTTCCCCAACCCAATCCTTCTACCTTCCCACCCCTTTCTGGCGCTTTCTTTCCCCTTCATCATTTTCCCTTCAGCCCCCTTTCAAGGCCCATTTCCTGGCCCCTCCGTTTCTAATCTACCCCTATCCCTCTGGCCTCCAATCCCTTCTTCCCGGTTGCTCCCACCCCTGCCTTCCCGGTCCTCCCCTCTCCCTCCATTTCAGCCGCTCCCCTCCCTTGGTCCCGACTCTCCCCCGCCCCCTGCCCCTCCCCCTGTTGCCCCCCATATGGCCCTCCCCCTCCCCCCGCCACCGTACCTCTGAAGGGGGCATAGGACATCGCGGGGATGCTCCCCCGATGGATGGAGGCGCGAGACCTGCTCATCAGGCCTGGGGGGAGGGGGCGGGGGGACGGGGGAGAAAGAAGAGAGAAAGAGGGGGAGAAAGAGGGGGAGAAGGAGGAGGAGGTGGAGGAGGAGGAGGAGGAGAGAGGAGGAGAGAGGAGCAGAGAGAAGCAGAGAGGAGGAGAGAGGAGGAGGAGGAGGAGAATAAGAGCCAACGGCAGCAGCGGCAGCCGAGAGAGAGGGGGGGCGGGGGAGCGAGCGAGAGCGAAGAGAGCAGGAGGAGGAGGAGGAGGGAGAGACTCTGCAGCCCCCACCCCTACTCGAAGAGGCCCAGACTGTGAGAGAGAGAGACCCCTAACTCAAAAACACACCAGAGAGAGCCGGAGGTCCTAAAGATACAGACCCCAGACCCTGAGAAGGAGAGACCCTAGACCCACAGAGAGAGATACTTCACCACCCCCCACCGTGGGTTAATTTGAGACACAGGCCCAAAATCTAGAGGAAAAGAGACTCCTGATTTGAGGAAAAAAACGACCCCAGATCCCCCAGAGAGAGAAGCCAAATATCAAAATCTGAGAATCCAGTCTCAAAAGGGTTCTCCATATCCACAGACATCTTAGACTCCAGACCCTGAGATGATGATTTCAGGGACCAAGACCTGCAACCTCATCAGAAAAAGATGAAGCCCAGATTCAGAAAGAGTCAGATCTAGAATTAGAGCTTAGAGAACTCAGACCTAGAGAGAGACCCCAGACTCAGATCTCAGAGACAGAGACACTCCAGACTTAAGGAGAGACAGAGAGAGACACTCAGCTGGTCAGGAGCTGGACAATTCAGAGACCCAAAATTCATGAAGAAGAATCAGAGAGTGCGACCACAGACCCTGAAACATAGAAACCCCCAAAACAAAAAAAGGAAACTCAATCCTAAGAAATATCTCCACACGAACACTGAAAGACTCCACTGAAATCCAACTCAGAGACAAACTCCAAACTCAAAGACAGAGATCTCAGGGATCCTCCCCTCCCCTCTTCCCTGCCCTGGAACCTCGGAGAGGTAGAACCCTGACGTCAGCCTGGGAAACTCCGAGGCATCCCCACCACCAGACCAATGACCTCAGACCTTGAAGGGAGGGGGAATACTGGGTAGGGGCAGTGGCAAGAGCTTTTTTCTCTGCTGCCTCCTCCCACCTCTCTGCCTCGCATTGGCCCCTCTCTCCATTTTTGGGTCACAGGATGCGCTTGGGCCCCAGGGATGTTATGTAGGGCAGGTCCTGGCTCCTTGGGGGATGGGTTGGGGAAAGGAGACCCAAGGCTGAGAGGTGGATCAATCCTGGGGAGTGGAATAAGCAGGGAAGAGGGGACAGAAGGACCATCAGCACTATCCCCATTCTGCAGCCCTCATTCTCCTTCCCTCGATTCAGCAGTCTGTCTCAAGCCTTGGGTTTTCAATTAAGATGGCTAGGCCCCATTTTCACCATCCTCTACCCCACGCACAGGGTGTCGCTCTGTTCTTTTAAAATGCATCTTTCCTCACCTAGCCATTGTCTTGCTATGCCCGTGCCTCCCTAATCACTTCCCCTACCCAGGGACAGCGGGCTTCTCAGATCACCGTGGTTCATTCCCAAACCCAAGCATATCTCTGTCCCAACTAAAAGGGCAGGGGGCGCTCTCTTCACCCCAGAGGTTGGGGTGGAGGGTCCTTCTCAGACCCTCCCACTCCTTGAGACCTGGGAAACAGTGCAGGGGAGGTCACTAAGCACATTGTGGGGTTTAAGGATCATTCCCCACTCCACAGCTTGACGCATCGACTCTGCGGGGTCTCCGGCCCCCCTTTCCTGGGCCAGCTCTAGCCTCACGTGGCCTGCGGGGCTGGCCTGCCATTGGCCACTTCGCGTCACTCACTGAGTGCCGCCGCCAGAGAGGCCCGGCCCCCTCACGTGACAGTGGAACGCCGCAGCGGCTCTCCTCCGCCAGCAAGTGGCAATTTCGGGTTCACACGGAAACCGGCGTGCCATTTCCGCGCACGTCTGCAGATCCGGCGGTCGATTGGTCAAGTCTCGCATCGCTCCTCCCTCATCAGGAGGCGGGCAAACCGCGCCACGTGAGGGCCGGGATTGGCTGGCTCTGGAGGCGCGGGTGGTCCGGCTTCTGTCACATGGGCGCGCTGTTTTCTTATCACGTGGCTGCCACCCAGGTAAGAAGAGGCCGCTCTTCCTGGGGTTGTTTCTCCGTGTGACGTGTGGCCTTTGAGATCAACTCTCCTCTACCAGCGTAGGCCGCATGAGTGGGGGGCGGGTGCCCGCGGTCCTGCTCGGCGGAGTGGTGAGTGACCGGCCCCGCCCCTTCCGGTCCTCGAGGCCTCGACCCTACCTGCACCCCAAATCCCAGAGGTTGGCTCCCAGAGGTGTGAATGAAAACTGAGCCTTGGCCCTACTTTTCCAAGTTTCTCTCTCACCTTCAGGGGCATTCTTCGGGGTGCATTAGAGGGAGTGCAGAGAGCCTGGGTATCTAAGCGAAGGCTTCCCCGGGTGTAATTTCCTGGGCTGTTTGTGAGGAGAGACTGAATTCGACCCCTGCTCTCAGGCCTCTCTGCTCCTGTCTTTTGTTTGGATGCCGGTGCTGTTGCCTGTGGCCTCCCGCCTTCTGTTGTTACCCCGAGCCCTGCTGACCATGGCCTCTGGAAGCCCTCCAACCCAGCCCTCGCCGGCCTCGGGCTCTGGCTCCGGCTACGTTCCGGGCTCGGTCTCTGCAGCCTTTGTCACCTGCCCCAACGAGAAGGTCGCCAAGGAGATCGCCAGGTAGGGACCTCGATGTGCAGCGAGAAACGATGATTATGAAGGGAGAGTTGAGGGTGGGGCAGAAGAGTACCGCTTTCTGCTCTCTCCAGCTCTGAAAGCTTGTCTCTGGGCTTTGGGATCGTGGGGGTACACTGAATGGGACTGTCTCTTCACTCTAGGGCCGTGGTGGAGAAGCACCTAGCAGCCTGCGTCAACCTCATTCCTCAGATTACATCCATGTGAGTCATAGGAGTTGGGGGATTAACCTAACCATAGGAGCTGACTGGGAACCTCTTTCCTGGGGAAAATTCTTTGCTCCCCACAACTCTCCCTCTCGGACCTTTCAGCTATGAGTGGAAAGGGAAGATCGAGGAAGACAGTGAAGTGCTGATGGTGAGAAACATTTCCCCCACCCAACAAAACTTCCCCAATCCCTGACCCCTTAGGCCCTTGTCCCTCTTCTGAGAAACTGAACTCAGTCCCACTCCTTGATTCAACCATGTTTATCTTTGTACCTTAGATGATTAAAACCCAAAGTTCTTTGGTCCCGGCTTTGACAGATTTTGTTCGGTGAGAACTTTTGAGATGGATGGGGTGAGGGTGTGTACTTGTGAGGTGTGACTTGCTGGGCAGTCTAAGGCTTGTGCCTGAGGGGGTGGTTTCCTTTGGGTAAATCTTTGAGTAATCCCCTTCCCCCACCCATCTATCTTGCAGTTCTGTACACCCTTACGAAGTGGCTGAGGTGATTGCATTGCCTGTGGAACAGGGGAACTTTCCATACCTGCAGTGGGTGCACCAGGTCACAGAGTCAGTTTCTGACTCTAGCACAGTCCTGCCATGATGAACCCTGTTCTGCCATCATCCCCCATGATACTTCAATGTCTTCTGACTTCCAGGTGATGACTGGGCCCTCAATAAATCCTGTCTTGGTTCTCTCTGCCTTTTGCCTGTTTTTTCCTCGTCATGTATGCAAATTTGTTGGGAGAATATAAGTGCTTTTAGTCCCAGTATTCTCTACATCTTTCAGAATGACTCAGAGCTGCTAGATTTGTTTATTTCTCTTTATTTCAATCATACAGAGTCCGGGTTCCCTTATCATCCTCCCTCCTCAGTCTCTGCCCCCAGGGGTTAAATAATTTTAAAAAATATTTAAAAAGCTGTAACAAAATAACATCAAAGGAAATGGGAAGAAAGATGGGGGGGGGGTCAGGAATCATGAAGGAGGGCAGAGAAGAGAGCCTCTTCCCCACCCCCCACTCTTGGATTCCAGCCTGGGCACCAGGGAGAACTACCCCCTATCTCTCCAGGTACATCCCAGCTGTAGGTGAGGTCAGAGGTCAGGGTATGAAAGTGCCGGTGTATGTGAATGGGGAGGTGCGAAAAGGCAGGCTGTTCAGAAGATGCCGCCTCCCCCCCACTCAACCAGGTACTGCACAGAGCCATCAGGTCGTACTCTCCGAGCAAGGACCCGGACAGGGTCCCCTCGGGACAGGTAGCCAACCCCACCTCGGACTCCTCCCCCAGTCCCAGGAGACAAACTACGGCACAGAGAAGAGGGTGCTGATCGTCTAGGAAGACCTGGGGATGGGGATGAGACTGAGGATGATGAGGCAGTCATCGAGTGGGGGGCACTTTTAGGGATGTCTGTGGGGAAACCAATGTGAAGTTCCAGGGGTGACCTAAGGAGAGAAGACAATTGTAAGAAACAGGCAGAAATGGAGAGCACATGTGAATCAGAGAAACAGAAAGAGTTAGAGACTAGGAGCCTTGAGCACATAGAGGGGAAGAGGAGCATCACTGGTAATAGAGGACAGCATCTCACCTGTCTGGGGGTTCACCGTCCCCAGAGGTCCCTGCGGTGCTGGCAGAGGGGTGGAAGGAAGCAAACATCCGGATGGGGCTGCTGGGATTGGAGGGGGGAAAGTCAGGACCTGAAGCAGGGGAACAGGACCTACTCCCTTCCCCAGAATACTGGCTACCAGACACTAGTTCTAGAAGTTGGTCTAGGACAAGAAGTGGGTACACAAGGGGGAGAGGGAAAAGAATTCTGGGTGAGAAAGTCCAGAAGATATGAATAATTGGGAGTGTATTTTCAGGGGGGAGGGCAGAGGAACACTGACCTGGGCAGGCAGCGGGCATCTGTGGGCCGGAAGTTGTAGCCGCTGCTGCCCTGGTAACTCTGGTTAGGGCTGGGGGGTGGCGGAGACACTGAGGCCTAGAAGAGGGGGCAAAGGACTGAGAGATAATCCTTGACTCCTTCCCACACCCCACCATTTGCTCCATAGGGTTCCCCCTTCCCCTGTACCTGCAGTGCCCTCTGCAGATGAGCCCGCTCCCTCTGCTCCCGGGGCTCGGGCTGATTGCGCACTGCTGAGGGTGGCCCCAGCTCCTCCACTTTCCCCTTCTGCCTCCTCCTCAGGGGCTCTGGCTCCGGCCTCCGGCGCTTCCCCAGGGGACGTGAGACCCCTCCCCCAGGGCCCTGCCCTGAAGGGAAGCTGTAAGAGGCCTCCTTATCCCCCCAGCCCCCTCCCGGACACCCCAAAGACCTCCCCATCTCTATACATATATCCCCCAGACTAACACCCTGAGAACATTCCCCCATCCCCCCTGGACCAGTGACCTGGTGAGTGCTCCATCTCCAGTAGGGGGCTCCACAGGGGGAGGCATCCGAGCATGGAGACCAAACAAACATTTCCTCTTCTTAATCTCTCTCCCTGAAATGAAACTGGGGCAAGAAGATAAATGACATAGAGTCATTGCTGTAAAAAAGGTTCCCCCTTACCCCATTCCTTAATCCTTTCCAGTCACAGTCTTCCAGATGGGTTACAAGCCCCTCCCCTTCCAGGCTTCCAATCTCCATCTCTTTCCAAGCCTCACCCTTGCCTCCTCTTCCCTCCAACTCACCGGTCCTTGTGGCTGTTGAGAGCAGAGAGAAGCTTGGAAGAACGTTCTCCTTTGGGGGTATCTGAAAGCTGGCAGAAAGGAAAGAAAATGGGGCCAGGGGAGCAGTGATTTCTCTTCCCCTTTCCAATACATCTTCCTGTCCCATCCCAACCCCCAAAAGTCACTACCCCTTACCTCCCCCAGGAGCAAACTGTCCCAATTTTCAGAAGTGAAGGGGAGGATCTCACGGTCAAAATCAAAGTATTTCTTCTTACAGCAAACGCTGAGGTGATAGAGGACAAGATGGGCCACATCCACCCTGGAGAAACAGAGTTTTCAAGACCACAGAGGCATTTTAAGAGCCAGATGAGTCCTGAGGTGGGAGGCTGGGGCATACAGAGTGAAATACTGGGGGTGCAGAGTTACACTGAGGTCATGGCCAATCCAGCTCACCAGCGAAGCTGTAGTCTCCGGACTTTCTCAGGGCCCCCACGACACACACAGCATTCAAATTCATAGAACCTGGACGTGGGCAAGAGGGAGAACACACACCTTACGCAGGAAAACTATGCCATCTCCTGAAGGACTCACAAGCAAGGATGGGGTGAACAGGTGAGGTAACCCTGCAGAGGTTGGGAAGAGACTGGAGTGGAGAAGGGCGTGGGGGAAATGAGGGTGAAGCACAAAGACAGGGCATCATTGCCTCTTGGAAAGTCTCACCTGTCCCCATAGAGGAGGGGCTTGCTCAGACACTGGGTGCAGGCCTCATGGAACCACTGCAAGCAGCTCCGGCACTGCAGCATTTTCAGGTTCCACCTAAGGGGAAACAGGACTTCTGGCCTCTCGACTTACTGCAACCATCCCTATATCTGCCCCAAACCCTGCTTATCACTTACCTCCCATCCCCCTGAGTGCCACCCTCACTCTGTTCTTTCTCCTTCATTTCCTGGGGTCCACCACCACATCATTCATTGCACAGTCCGCTCCCCCTCATTACTCACTCCCCAGGGCCACCACAGTAACAGTAGCTCTGCTGTCGGTTGCTCAGATGTCCAGCATCCCAGTCCAGCCCCTTCAGTCCATATGGCAGAGACAGCTTCATACCCAGCATGGCCCGGGCATAGGGGCCCTTCTTCAGGGCACCACCCCTCTGCAGAGACAGAACAGGTGGGTGGCCTCAGGGGGGTGGGAAGAGGAAGGCTTGTGAAAGGCTCTGGATGGGAGGCTCCCAGAGGAAGGGGTAACAGGGAGGTGCCTTTACCTTGGTGGCGATTGCAAAGACACATTGGCGGCACACCCAGGATGTGCCCTCTCCTTCTCCAGGGGCTGGAGCCCTGGGAACATGGCAGTCCTGGTGATAAGCTGAAGAATGATAATAATAGACCACTTATTGCATACCTGTGTGTGCTCGGTATTGGGACTGGAATAGTCTTTACCCATCTCATTTAATCCTTGACCATGGTCTGGATGAGGGGATGCATTTTCCTTATTTTACAAGTCAGGGAACTGAGGCTCCTAGAGATTTAGGGACTTGCTCAAGGTCATATGGTTAGAAAAGGATGCATTTAAACCATCCTCTACCTGCACAGGTTACACCACCCCTTTCCATGGCTGTTTCTCCCTAGGCTTAAAGGGGATGAGGACTAAGATAGGGCTAAGCAGCCTGGCCAGAACAGTGGCTTGGGGACTAAGGCCAGGACAGGTGACAACATAGGGACTGTGCTGGAGGGAAGAGCAAGCTGGCCATTCAGGTGACCTGCCCTCTTACCATGGCGACACTTCTCACAGCTGACCAGCCGGTTCCCAGGGACCACAGTCTCAGAGCGACAGACACAACAGAGGAGTTCCTCCCCAGGGAGGGCAGCTGTGAGAGAACACAGCGTCAGGGGCCTGCCCTTAAGTCTCTTTCTTCTACCATAAGCCAGGTTTGTTTTCTATGGGATGTGCAATCTCAGGTCTCTAGAGTCTTACCAGGGCTAATGTCTTTCCATAGAACCAGAAACTGTGAATCATCCTCAAACTGGACCAGACACACCTCCCTAGCACTGTCCACCTGGAATGAGTGAGCATAGAGGATGAAATGGGAACCAGATTTAGATAAGGGGAACAGGAAAAAGGTCAGAGGTAGAAAGTCTTACCTTTTTGATGGTGCCCAAGTATAGCAGCCCATCAGTCCATCTAGCCAGCACATCTTGACCCTCCCAAAGTCGAGGTCTGGGGCCAGAGGTGGGAGCAGGGGAAGCTGGGTCCCAAAGTGAGGAGGCACCAGAACGGCTCAGCCGGGGGGGCTGCGCCATTGCATCCTGGGGGGGGCTAGCCAGAAAAGAAATGGGGAAGAGGTTATGAATGCTGAGAAAACTTCCCCATTTTCTTTCTTTTTTTTTTCCCTGAGATGGAGTCTTGCTCTGTCGCCAGGCGTGCAGTGGCGTGAGATGGAGTCTTGCTCTATTGCCCAGGAGTGCAGTGGTGTGATCTCGGCTCACTGCAACTTCTACCTCAGTTCAAGCAATTCTCCTGCCTCAGCCTCCCGAGTAGGTGGGATTACAAGCGCACACTACCACGCCTCGCTAATTTTTGTATTTTTAGTAGACATGGGGTTTCACCATGTTGGCCAGGCTGGTCTCGAACTTCTGACCTCGTGATCCACCCACCTCGGCCTTCCAAAGTGCTGGGATTAAAGGCATGAGCCACTGCACCCAGCCAGCTTCCCCATTTTCTTTGCCTATTTTGCCGTCAAGAATGAAGGATCTGTGCCCCCAACTCCAAATCCTGAGACACCTGGATAGGAAACCATTGGGCACCCATCACCAGCTTCTTGAGTACTCTCCCAACTCTAGTGACTGGCTTTACTCTCCGTAACTGCCCTCCCCCCGACCCAAACCTAGTTCTCTAGTTTCCCAGCTTCCAGAGCTCTCCTGGGATATTATATCCTGGCCTTGAAATTTTAGGAGAAATTACGGTTGCAGAAGCAAAGGCTACAACTCAGTTTAGAGGTATCATAATTAGGGTGCCCTGTTGCCCAGAAATGTGGAGAAATGTGTTTTGGGACCTTTTCTGGAGATGTTTTTCAGGGCAGAAATGGCAGTGTCCCCAGGCCTGCGTGTCTCATTAAGAACAATCATCCTGGTGCCAGGTTATGTCAGGTCACCCTCAAATTCGGGGCTCCCTGCCCTCGGGTTAGACAACTTCTCTGAGTGCCCCGGGAGGGGGGCGTGTCCGAGTCCCGGTCTCTACTCCCCAGGACTGCAAGTCCGAGAAGGGACTTGCGTCGGCCCAACCCGGACCCCGTGGCCAGGGCAACGAGGCTCTCCCGCCCGCGCCCCGCGCCGACCCCCGGCTCCCTGCCCCCCACCGGCGCCTCCTGCCGCCTCCTTACCGGTGACAGCTGGGGCCGCCGGGAGCCGGGCAGGAGCAGACGTAGGAGACCTAGGCGAGTCCCCCGCGCGGAGAGGGCACGTCCGGGCGTCGGGGGGCTTGCAGGCGGAGGCCAGGGGGTCCCCAGGCCCAGCCCCTCCGTCCCGGCGGCTCTGGGGCGTATGACGCAGCAGCCAAAGCAGCGGCAGCGGCAGGAGGAGGAGGCGGCGGGGGGGAAGGAGGGGAGGGACGGACCGGTTGGGGGGAGGGTGGTGGGAGGGGAGGACGGGGGGAAGGAGGAGCCGGAGGGGGGGGCGGGCACCACCTCACCCCACCTCCCTCACCTCCAACAGGCCTGGAGGGCGCCGAGCAAGAGGCTGGCCCTCCGCGGTTTGGGGAGCGAAGAGTCGGACCCAGTAGGAGAGGGAATCCCCTCAGCCCCTTCCTCAGACCTGAGATTCGCCCTTGGGGCAGGAGGGAATCCCCCCTCCCGCCAGCCCGCCTCCGGACTGGTCCCCCGCCCCATGCCACATCCGTTAGCTGCCCCACCCCCCATGGTCACTCCGAGTCCCGCCCCCCGTCCCCAGTTCACGGCCCCGCCCTCCATTCACCCTTCGCGTTGCCCCCACCACGCCCTCCTCCCTCGCGCGCCCCGCCCTCCACTCGCCGTTAGCCCCAGCCCCGCCCTCCCCGGGGCTAGTCGCGCCCCACCCGCCGCCCTTTTGCGCACGCGTGTCCCCTCCTGCGCGCGGCACCTGGGAGGACTGAGCCCCTCCTTCACGGGCGGCGGCCGTCGACCGTTGGCGCGAGGAAGTCGGCGGTCGTGCGCGCCGCTTCCCGGGCACGTCCCGCCCCGTACTTCCAGGGCGGGCGCAAAGACTAAGGGGGCTAGGACCCGAGGCGGTGACGCCACCGAGAGCCAGCCAATGGGCAGCGGGCGGGCAGAGCCCCAGCGGTTCGAACGGAAAGGCAGGGAAAGGGCGGGAGGAAAGAGCCAGCAGCTTGGGAGCGCGCGCCAGCCCTGCCTCGGGACTGCGGGGTCCGGTCCCCATTTGCGGACACCCACCAAAGGACCGTTCTCTCCCTGGGGCTGGGGTGGCCGACTGAAGGGTGAAACTTAATCTATAACTAGTTACGATGGAAGGGGCGTGGATAGCTAGAGGGCACACCTCCCTGATGTGACGGACAGGGGAGGGGGCATGAGCAGAGGGGTAGATAATCCAGACCAGGTTCCAGAACCGGTGACAGGTGAAGGGAGAAAAACCCAAGCCTTCAGCCCCCGCTCCCGCCTCCCACACAAACGCTTGGCAGAAGGGACAGATCACAGGTCCCACCTTTACAGATATGAAAGTATCTGCCTCCTTGGGCAAATGCTAATTAAAACCTTTATTTTTTAAAAAAAGTATTATTCTTTATTTGATAGCCCTGGGACATGGCGCCCTCCACCCAATAAAGCACCCTTCAGCAACCCTCCCACCCCTCACCCAACACACACACACACACCCAACACACAAGATCTGGATCCGTCTTCACTTCCTGTTGGCTTGGGCAGTACCAATAACACACTGGTTCACCTGGGTATAGGGGGTGAGACAGGATAAAAAAAGTTTGCAAAATAACCATAAGAACAGTTTTCTCAAGATCTCCTCCCATCCTCCAATGCTAGGGCTGCCCTCAGGAATACTGAAATAAGGCCTCCAAAGGCTGGTTCAAGCTGGTTCCAGTTATGGTTGGTTCTCCTTTCCACACTAGGCTTGGAGGAGGTGAAAAGGCCTGAGAGAGATGGAAGCCCCACAAGAAAATACAGGAGCAGAGAGAAGAGGCTTTCATTTCCAGCAATACTCTGTACTAGAGACCTCCAACCTCTCCCACTGCAAAATACTGAAACTGAGATAAAATAGTAATAGCAACTAGCACCCATTTAGGAACTAGCACTCCTTAGAAAATGGATCCGTTGAAGTCTAGGGGAGGAAATGTACAAGTTGAATCTGAAAAATGACTACTAGGATTGTGTCTAAAGAACACTGGTGCCAACCTGAAGGAGGTTCCTAATGGCCAAATATGGGGCAATTTGAGCATCAGAAAGAATGACTGTGGCCGGGCTCAGTGGCTCACACCTGTAATCCCAACACTTTTGGAGGCTACAATGAGCTTTGATTGAGCCACTGAATTCCAGCCTGGGAAACAGAGCAAGACCCTATCTCAAAACAACAACAACAAAACGCTCAGATAGACATTCACTGGTCACCTTTGGAAGCTGTTAGGGTATCAACTCAATACTAAAAATCAATAAATAATCCAGCATTTATCTTGTTTTTCCTCTATGAACTCAGTTTCAGAGAAACCAAGTAGATGGCAAGGCAAATTTCTTTGTAAAAGAATCGTGACTAACCAACGCAGAACAACTGAGAAGACTGAAAATCATCATTTAAAAACCCCTTAATGAAATAATGGATCTAGGTATGGTTACTCCTGGATAAAATCACTAGGTGAAAAAGTCAATAGGAAGCTTTTAAGTGGATGGATCAGGCTGACAACACCCAAATATGATAAATAAGTCAAAGTATGGGGGAAAGAGGAAGCAACCAGCCACAATCCAGACAAGTATATTCTACAGGACAAATGACCTTCCACAAACAAATGACATAATAGTGGCAGCATGGGATAGGGTTGTTACAGATTACAAGGAACTTGAGACATTTGAACCAAGTGGGTGGCCCTTGCCTGGACCCTGATTTGAACAAATCTATTATGTATAAAAGACACTTATGAGACAGTTGGGTGAAATTTAACATGAACTGGTTATTAGAGGATATTAACGTTCATGTTGGATGTTACACTGGTATAACATTAATAAAAAGAACATCATCATCCTCTAAAATTGAACTTACAAGATAAGGAAACCTTCATCAAAGTAGAATACCAGATCAGGGTACAGGTGCTGGCTACTCCATGGCAACAATCAATGCTGATTGGGAGGAAGCCCAAGCACCACAGAAGGACATACCTGATCAGACCTCAAAGCCAGAGCCTATCAAAGGGCTATATGCTCAGGAGGAGGGTGAGCCAGAGACAAAAATTACCCAGAGAGGCAAACAATAAGGAAACTTTCTGACCTGCTTAACAATAGCAGAAGGGCCACTGGCTGACCCTCATGGGGTTTGGAGTCTGAATTCACACTATTTGAAATAGACTGAAAAAATTCTAAGTCTTTGATCCAGTAATCTCATTTCAAGGTCTATTTCCCTAGATGGTTACATGTAACTGAAAAAATACAAAATGATTTATGTACAGTTAACATGGCCTTGTTTGTAACTTAAAAAGGGTGGAAACAATCCAAGTGTCCAGTAGAGGGAACTGGTGGATAAATTTTGGTGCAACTACATAGTGGACTCCTAGGCAGACCTAAAAATAATGATCACTGTGTGGTGATGGGGGGAAATCTTGGGGATTTTTGTGTTGTTTTTTTGAGACAAGGTTTTGCTCTGTCACCCAGGCTGAAGTGCAGTGGTAGGATCAGGGCTCACTGCAGCCTCCACCTCCCAGGCTCAGGTGATCCTCCCATCTCAGCCTCCTGAGTAGCTGGAACTACAGGTGTAAGCCACTACACCCAGCTAATTTTCATATTTTTTGTAGAAACAAGAGTCTCACTATATTGCCCAGGCTGATCTGAAACTCCTGGGCTCAAGCAATCCTCCTGCCTCAGACTCCCAAAGTGTTGGGATTACAGGCATGAGCTACTGCACCCAACCAGTTTAGATCTTTTAGTCACCTTTTGTTTTCAATCAGCTTTCTTAGGTTAAGTTAGTCATCTGTTTTTTAAAAATTTAAAAGCTAATAATTAAAAATGGAACCAGGTGAGTAGTGCCCCAGATGCCTGTGAATCTAAAACCTTTCTGGACAATGTGCTTCCTGGCCTAGAAGACAGATGGGTTCGAATGGAGAAGCCCACAACCACCCACAGGTACTGACAAGGCCTGGGAATGACTGGTGGTAATCGCACCTTGGAGGCAAAGCGTAGAGAGTTGAGGGACTCGGAGACGTTCTCTTCTAGTGGAGAAATGTTCACAAACATGAGCCTATGAAAAAAGAGAGTATGCCCAACCCCAGCATTAGGGGCCAGCAGAGCCTGGACAGGTCTCCACTGTTCCTTCTTTCTACCCCTCACCCCCATACAGGTCCTACCTGACCCCTTCCATCTGTCCCTTTCACTCACATCTTAGCACTGCCACCCAGAGAGTTCTGCAGCAGGTAGGTCAGTTTGCTGTTCCGATAAGGCACGTGGGACTCCTAGATGGTTGAGGTGGGGGCAGATGTTTAGGAATAAGCAGGGTTCCACATAGCCAACCCAAATGGCCCCAAGTCCCATATCTCCAATTCCCATTCCCACCTTGTTGCTCAGGGCCATGATAACCAGCCCCAGCGTGGACAGGCTGCTGTTAATAGCCTGTGTTTCCCGAAGGCGTTCCCGCTCCCCGGGGCCGAAGGCTAACCCAGGGTCAAGTCGCTCACTCCCAGCCAGGTCCACAAGACTGAGGGGGGCCCCACACTGCAGGCCTCTGCTGGAGTGCTCTCCAGTTATCTGTAGCTGGAATACGCTGTGGCTGCGTGATGACCGTTCATTCTGGGCAGTGCGGGCCACAGCCCGATTCTGGTGGGCCAGATGGAGCAGGGCCTCCACCTGAGGATGGGAACAGAAGGGACAAAAAGGCAGGCAGAAGTCAGTACATAGTAATGTATATGGCAATGAGTAAGAGCCCACTCCCACTCTCTTGAAGCTTTCTAGCCTGTCAAGAAACAAAATAAGATGCATAGTATGTCTAAAAATGGCAAGGAATAAAATCATGGAATAGGGAGCATATAAAGGCAGGAGGGGGTGCCAAGTTTTGACAGGATAGCCAAGGATGGCCTCACTGTCATAAGATCTCCAGGAAAGGAGCATCCAGGCAAAGACCCTGAGATGGGGAGCGTGACTAGCTGGCTGAGGAACAGCCAGGAACAGCATGGCTAGGGTGAACTGAGCAAGCAGATGAGACCCAAGATGCAGTGACCCTCCCTGCTTTGGCAGATGCATCACTTCCTCTCCACTGCCCAGTTAAGGCAGATCTGCCTATAGCCCACAAGCCAAAACTGGATGTGGTAACCCAGCCTCAACTCGAACTTCATCCTTCGATTCTCTCCTACTCCTTTCTCCCTCTACCTCTATCTCGTGGCACCCTGCCCACCCCTCCCCATTCCCCAGTTTCTGTGCCCATGGGTCCTCACTTCTTTCTCACAGGAGACAGGGACATATCGAGCATTGGTGACAGTGAGCTCCTCGCTCCCTGGCCTTGCATGGCGAATCTCACACTCGCTCCCTTGACCCTTCCGGGTCCCAGTGGCCAGCAGGTCCCGGACGGTCTCATTGTAGATCTCTACGTAGCTTGCTACAAAGCTGTAGGTCCAGCCCTGGCCACTCAGCTCCTGGGCCACAGAGAAGAGGTGCCGCAGGGCCCGAGGGATCAGCCCCTCCAACTGGGGGTCTCCCCCAGGCCCACCCTCCATTGTGAAGGTCTTGCCACTGCCTGTCTGGCCATAGGCAAAGATGCATACTGGATAGCCATCCAGGGCTGACTGGACAAGCATGGCAATCTCTTCAAATACTTCATCCTGTCGACTTCCTGGGGGGAATACCCGGTCAAAGGAAAAATCGTGGCGGGTAGGGGGGACTGGTGCCCCACTCAGGGTCCCACGCCGCTCGTCAGACCGGGAGAGGCTAAGGCGGGTTGTAGGATCAGAGGGCCCACCAGGGCCAGAGGGGAACAGGAAGAGCCCAGGGGGTGGAGTGGGCTCTCCAGGAAGGACAGGGCGGACCCGGCAGAACACACGGATGTTGCCCTTGAGTTCCTGCAGCTGGTTGTGCAGTCGCCGGCGCTCCATTTCTAGCCCATGAAGACGTTCTTCCCGCTCAGTCAGTAAGGCTGCCTGGGCTGCGGTCTCCTGCCGCAGAGATGCCACCTCTGCTTGGCTGCTTGACAGAGCTGCTTCTGATGTCTGCAGCCTCCTCTGCCCAGAACAGAACACAACATACACAGAGGGTGAGATGCAACCAAGAATAAGAACAAACTGTGTGGCTAAGATGGGGTGTATCGTGGGGTGGAGGTGAGATGCCTGCTCACAAGGACCTCAAAGTCTGGTAAAGAAAGAAAAATGAGAAAATAAGGAATCATGGTACTAAGACAACGAGTGCTATGGGTATGCGCCCAAGCCCAAAGAGAAGCACAAGCAAGGTGATATCTAGGCTGATACCCAGAAGTACAGGAGTGAACCAAGGAAGGATGCAGTATACAAAGAACATTCCAGAAAGAGGGATGCACATATGCAGAATGCCCAGAATGAAAGTTAAGTCATTTAAGAGACTGTAAATATTTTAATCTAGTTGGTACTCACCAGGAAGGAGTCAAATTGGACATGAGAGACGGGAGAGTACCACAGGAATTTGTAATCAGAATGGGGACCCAAAGAAAGAGGGATGGAGGATTAAGGAAAACACAGATCATGGCCAGGCACAGTGGCTCACGCCTGTAATCCCAGCACTTTGGGATGCCAAGGCGGGTGGATTGCTTGAGGTCAGGAGTTCGAGACTAGCCTGGCCAACATGGTGAAACCCCGTCTCTAAAAAAAAAAGGAAAACACAGATCTAAGTGGAAGCTTTGCAAACAGTCAAGGGTAGGAAGAAGCACAGCAGAAAGGAAGACAGTCAGGAGTGGGCTGGGGGGGTGGAGACAGGTGGAAGAGAGTTATCTTCAGCAGCACCTATACTGCTAAATATAGGTGCTTAGTTCTGAGCCCAAACAGACTTGAGGGGCACCTGGAAGGGAGGGAAGGCATGACCCCTGCCAGGAAAAAGGGGCCGGCATTTGATGAAAATCTGGCCCTTACCTCCTTCTCCTCTAGTTGGGATGTCAGTCCCCTCCGTTCCTCCTGCAATTCCACCTGTTTTTTCTGAAGCTCTTGCACCAAGTCCTCCTGCGTGCTTAGCCGCTCTTCCAGTTCCACAATACGAGCACGCAGCTTCTTCAGCTCCTGTTGGCCCTGCTCAGCCTCGGCCTGCACCGTGGCTAACTGCCCCTCCAGTGTCCTGCGCTCTGTCCCCAGGGCCTTGGTCTGCTCTTGGGCATCTCTGAGCTGGTCCTGAAGCTGCTGGTTCTCTTGGCCCAATGTCTGAGTCCTCTCACGGCAGCGTTTTAGTTCTGCATTTACGTCACATAACTGACCCTTTAAGTCCCAGGCTGGACGTTTGCTGGGTTTCTTCCCTCCCACCATGGGAGGAACAGCTGATGGTAAGATGAGCACAGAAGGGACAAAGTCAGTGAAGTCTAGGCTCTCAATCCCTCCTCCCTTCTAGCCTTTATGGGATCCACACCTGATGCTACATCTCCTTCCCCTAAGAGACCAAATGGATTTTTCTGGGCACTTACCACCTTCTCTTCCCTATCCCAAGCCTCTCACCCAATGGTTATGTTTGTCACCTACTTCCAGGCTTCTGGACAGGAACAGCAGGAACTGGCTTCTGGTTCTTCAACACTAGAGAATTGAGAAGGTGACTTAGGAATTACAGGACCAGTGTCCCTCTGCCTCCATCATTCTCCCTTTAGACATACCCCACATCCCTTCTCAGACCCAGCTCTTGAGCACAATTACCTGTGGCAATAGTTGTGGAACACCGGGGTCCTATCTTCTTGGAAACTTTTTGAGCTGCCCAGGAGATGGGAGAGAGCAAAGGTAGAATGATCGTTTTCAAGATGGCTTGTAAACGACTAGGATGGGGGCAGAAGTGCTTTTCTCAGAATTAGAAATAAGACACCTTCCTTCCCTTATCCCTCAAGTCTGGCCGGCTCCTAGCATCTCCTGTAGGACCAGAAGTTAGTCACCCCCTTAGTATCCCTCTAAGGATACCAAAATCCAAGGATGCCCAATTCCCTTATATAAAATGGTATATGGTAATATATATAGTTTATGCACACCTTCCCATATACTTTATTATTGATTGATTGAGACGAAGTTTCACTTGTTGCCCAGGCTGGAGTGCAATGGCGAGATCTCAGCTCATGGCAACCTCCACCTCCTGAATTCAAGCTATTCTCCTGCCTCAGCCTCCTGAGTAGCTGGGATTACAGGCACGCACCATGATACCCAGCTAATTTTT